GTTGGAGGCCGTCGCTAGTAGGTGGTAGGTAGTATGCACAAGCAAAACAAAAGTGACAGCGAACAGCAAGGTTGGAGGTCGTCGCTAGTGGGTTGGAGGCCATAGTACCAGGTTGGAGGCCAGCGCTACAAGTTTACAAGGCACAAGTACAAAACAACACCGAGTTGAAACATGCTTTCAAGTACCGTTAAAGATAGAAAACCAACATGCAGGTACACATCAAGGCGTCCCTTGATGCTTCCCCTGTCACATCCCAGCTTCGTTGGGCCAGGTAGGATGTGACAGGCCTGGCCCGCCTGCACAACACCGAAAGGTTCCCTGTGAGTCCAAGGGTTACACACACATGCGCGCAAAGGAGACAGATGAAAATGAGAACGACGAGACAGACGAAAAGTGTGTGTGGTTGCCGATGAAGAAGAACCAAGTGAAGAGGGACAACCGATGAGCCAAACCTCATAGTAACAAACCTGGGCCACCTGAACCTAGTTGTAAGTAGAATACGCGTGCGTGTATGTGTACAAGCTAAGGTCCGGACGAAAGCGCGCGCAAGAGAAAGGAAAGGATGGGGATGAAGAGACATGAAGACAGAAAGACATGAAAGAAAAGGAGGGAAGACGTCTGTGGGGGCCAATGAAAGGGGAACCAAATGAAAGGGGGCAAACCAATGACAGACCAAACCTCGTTGAGAAACCTGTTGCAAAAGCCTGGTTTGCTTGTAAGTATGCCACGCGCGAGAGAAGAGGAGGAAAAGAGGAGGAAGAGAAGAAAAGGAGAGAAAGGAAGAAACGAAGGCGCTCCCAGCTACGACACAAGCGTCCAAGGACACACCAAAAAGGGTGAAGGGCTCCCAGCAGTGACGAAAGCATCCAGGGACACCGGGACACCCAAGGCAGAAGGAAGGGGAAGAAAAGAAAGAGAGAGAGAGAGAGACAGAGAGAGAAAGAGAGAAGGAGAGAGAGGGTAAAAAGGGGACAGCTACGAACAAGCGCCCAGGGACACACCAGTGAGAGAGAGAGGGGTGTACTTGAGTATTACATTCAGGAACACCCCAAAATGGCAAAGAAGGAAGAGGGGAGGGGAGGGGGAGGAGGAAGGGGTTAAGGTCGCGACAGACTCCAACGTACGCCGTGCCAAAATGGCTGGCTTTGACCGCTGTGGTCACCTAATGGCTTGTCTGAAGACTGCCTACTTGGAATTCAATATTCCGTCAGGTCTTGGCAAGTAACTTTGGCTTCGTTTGCGCTGTTTTACCGAACGTGACATCCGACACTGCTCACAGGCTGGGTGGTAGGAAGCGTGACCCTGCAATCTATGCTTTAGAAGTTCTCTCAACTCTTTATCTTTAAGCCGATTAGGCACTAAGTCGGTTTCAGTCGGGTCCAGGTTAGGGTCACCTACGGGCAACTCACTATCTTTAGACTCTTTTGACTCGGGCTCAAAAGGCTCAAGTTCTTTTGAAGGAACGTTCACGGGAGGTTGCTTGCTATCGAATCTCCTCCTTTCAGGCATTGGTGACAGAGTTTTACTTACCTCGCTCACCTTTTCAGAATACTTCGGGTAAACATTTTCTTACCCTTCTTTGGCGACTGCGGTGACTGCTCACCGGCCGAGGTCCCAGCGAATCCATCGAGTTCCATTGGCCTGAGGAAGGCTCGGGCTCATATCTCTCTGGGGCAGGATGCTTGCTGTAGCTGGGGCAGGATGCTTGCTGTAGTTCTTACCAGAACTCTTTCCAAGACTCTTCGACCTACGAACGACTGTTGAGTCGGGGTCAGGCTCTACATACTCATCAGCTTTCAACCACGGGCAGTTTGCCCAGATAGTAGGGTACACCCTAATGCTACCTATCGCGCATTCACATGTCTCTGGACCTGCTTACAGACTCCATACGCGGACAACAAATTGTGCTCTACGCGCGAACTAGACATCTCACAAGCAGAGGTCTTTGGAGGCCATGCTCACCACTAATAGACATCTTAAGGACTACTTCCCTTCGGATCTCCACTCTCTCTCCGGATGCAGTACTAAAGGTCAACGGAGGCTCAACCCTACGTTCCTTTGACACTTCGTAGGCTGACAAAAACTTTTCGGCAACAACGGATCTAGATGCACCGGAATCTAAAAGCCACCAAGACTGCAACGTCAAGTCTTCTAGATTGCTCTTGCAAAACATCCCGCCTACCAAAAACTCTGCCAGTCCTACATCCGACTTCACTCTGGGGCGTCAATTCGGACTCAACTGCTTCGGCTTCGAACGGGACTGAGGTCCCGATGCTGGGCTCAAAGCTCTCCAGTGCATCGTGGCCGGTGCACGGCGGGGACGGTTGGCATACAACACAGCTCAAGCTCTTAGTCTTACTAGACTCCAAGCTCTCAGCTTCCATTACCTCTTCAAGGCTCTTACTTACATCTTGAGGCTCCTTGAACCCTTTTCTCAACGTGCTCAACAAAGACTCGGTCGGATCTGGGGTTCCGATCCGGGGCTCAAAGCTCTCCAACGGGTCATGGCCGGTGCGCAGGCACGGCACGGCGGGGACGGTTGGCTCACCCAACTCAAACTAGAGTTACAACCTTCTGACCTCAAGCCTTCTTCCACAAACAAACCATCAGTCTCCCTACAAGGCTCTTCGTCAAAGCTCGGCTCAAAACCCTGGCTGTTAGTCTTACGAGACTCAACACTGCTCCTACACCTATTCGTACAAGACTCTTCAAGTACAGGTGGCTCGAACACAACATCTTTCCAATCTAAATGGTAGTCATCTAGATTGCTACCAGGTGAGTTTGACAACTCTTCATCAAACATCTTCCAAAACTGGCAGGCACTTGACTGCTCTCCAGGCTCCGGACGACAAACGTTGGATTTCCAACGATTCCGAATCCAAATTCGTACGAGCGGACGGAAATCCAGATGGCTCACCGGGCTTCGAGTGATCGTGCACAAATCTAGAGGACTCCTGCTCAAAAGACTTCGAACGACAACCTTCGAATCTAGTAGCTTCCTCAACTGTCTCATGCAACTTCGAATGATCTGCAAGCTCGGTTTCAGCACTCTCCATCCCTAGTACAGGCTTGGCTGCGCAGCTTACTTCTAGTACAGGCTTAGCTGCACAACATGGTTGACTCACTGCATCGAACGAAAGCTTTACCTTCAGCTCTCTTACCCCACACTCTTGGTGCGCACGGCTTCAACACATTCTGTTCCGTCTCAACGTTCAAACACGGAGTCAAAACGTGAACGAGTCTCAACTTGGTGGGCTTTATACGAAGATCTACATTGGGCTCATCTGACTCTAGGCTTACGAATCCCCTACTCAAGCCAGGCTCAACTCCAGTGCAAACTCTCTGGGCTCCCGGATAGGTCCGGCCAGGTCGAAGCGAAGGACGAATCGACGACGAACAAAAGGCTGCGGCATCACTCCTCAAGCATGAACCCTTCTCAAAACGGCACGAAAACTTCTCTGGGCTAGTTACTGTTGGTTTGGACTCGGCTTTCAAAGTGGTTGTTTTCCTCTCAAGAAAATGCACCGCTTTAAGCAGCACGTGGCTGGTGAGAGCTCAGAAAAATGGGTTCCGTTGCTTCGGACGCTTCACTCCAAGCATCCTCCTCAAACCCTTCGTACTCTAGTGCTTCCTGTTCCAATTCTAACTCTGCTTCACTCTCTTCTGGGGTGGCCAAGTCGTAGTACTCAGCTGTTCTCAAGCCCTTCTTTCCTTTTCCTTTACCTTTTGACTGGTTCTTACCTGAACCTGAAGGCTTGCCGCCTTTAACTTTTCCCTGTTCTTTCTTTTCTTTTCCTTTTCCTCCCTTTTCAACTTTCCCCTTTTCTTTACCCTTCTGCTGGCTCGGGCCCTTGGGTTGCCGACAGTCTTTGGCCACGTGGCCTTTCCTTCCGCAGTTCCAGCACTCACGGTCTTTCGGATCGATCGATGCGGCTCCCAACACAGGTTCAACTGGCTCGAACGTCTCACCCAACGACGACAGCGAAAGACCCTTGTTCGTGCTAAAATCCTGCTCTGACAAAACTGTTTTGGCATAAA